TGTCTATCTGTGTGACGGGTGTCCATCTGTGTGTCGGGTGTCTATCTGTGTGTCAGATGTCTATATGTGTGTCGGGTGTCTATCTGTGTGTCAGATGTCTATCTGTGTGTCGGGTGTCTAACTGTGTGTCGGAGGTCCATCTGTGTGTCAGATGTCTATCTGTGTGACGGGTGTCCATCTGTGTGTCGGGTGTCTATCTGTGTGTCAGATGTCTATATGTGTGTCGGGTGTCTATCTGTGTGTCAGATGTCTATATGTGTGTCGGGTGTCTATCTGTGTGTCGGAAGTCCATCTGTGTGTCAGGTGTCTATCTGTGTGTCAGGTGTCTATCTGTGTGTCGGGTGTCTATCTGTGTGTCAGATGTATATCAGTGTGTCAGGTGTCTATCTGTGTGTCGGGTGTCTATCTGTGTGTCAGATGTCTATCAGTGTGTCAGGTGTCTATCTGTGTGTCGGGTGTCTATCTGTGTGTCAGATGTCTATCAGTGTGTCAGGTGTCTATCAGTGTGTCAGATGTCTATCAGTGTGTCGGAGGTTCATCTGTGTGTCGGGTGTCCATCTGTGTGTCGGAGGTCCATCTGTGTGTCAGGCGTCTATCAGTGTGTCGGAGGTTCATCTGTGTGTTGGGTGTCTCTCTGTGTGTCGGGTGTCTATCTGTGTGTCGGGTGTCTATCTGTGTGTCGGAGGTCCATCTGTGTGTCGGGTCTCTATCTGTGGGTCAGGTGTCTGTGTGTCTGGTTTCTATCTGTGTGTCGGAGGTTCATCTGTGTGTCAAATGTCTATCTGTGTGTCGGGTGTCTATCTTTGTGTCGGGTGTCCAACTGTGTGTAGGATGTCTCTCCGTGTGTTAGGTGTCTATCTGTGTGTCGAGTCTCTATCTGTTGGTCAGGTGTCTATCTGTGTGTCAGGTGTCTGTGTGTCGGGTTTCTATCTGTGTGTCGGAGGTTCATCTGTGTGTCAGATGTCTATCTGTGTGTCGGGTGTCTATCTTTGTGTCGGGTGTCCAACTGTGTGTAGGATGTCTCTCCGTGTGTTAGGTGTCTATCTGTGTGTCCGGTGTCTATCTGTGGGTAGGAGGTTCATCTGTGTGCCAGGTGTCTATCTGTTTGTGTAGTGTCAATCTGTGTATCAGGTGTCTATCTGTGTGTCGGAGGTCTTTCCGTGTGACAGGTGTCTATCTGTGTGTCAGGTGTCTATCTGTGTGTCCGATGTTTGTGTGTCGGATGTCAATCTGTGTGTTGGGTGTCTATCTGTGTGTCGGGTGTCTATCTGTGTGTCGGGTGTCTATCTGTATGTCGGGTGTCTATCTGTGTGTCGGGTGTATATCTGTGTGTCGGGTGTCTATCTGTGTGTCAGGTGTCTATCTGTGTGTCGGGTGTCTATCTGTGTCTCAGGTGTCTATCTGTGTGTCAGGTGTCTATATGTGTGTCGGGTGTTTGTGTGTCAGAGGTCCATCTGTGTGTCGGGTGTCTATCTGTGTGTCGGGTGTCTATCTGTGTGTCAGGTGTCTATCTGTGTGTCGGGTGTCTATCTGTGTGTCGGAGGTCCGTCTGTGTGTCAGGTGTCTATCTGTGTGTCGGGTGTCTATCTGTGTGTCGAGTGTCAATCTGTGTATCAGGTGTCTATCTGTGTTGGGTGTCTATCCGTGTGTCGGGTGTTTGTATGTCGGGTGTCTATCTGTGCGTCAAGTGTCTATCTGTGTGTCGGGTGTCTATCTGTGTGTAGGATGTCTCTCTGTGTGTCAGGTGTCCATCTGTGTGTCGGGTGTCTATCTGTGTGTCGGGTGTCTATCTGTGTGTCGGGTGTCTATCTCTGTGTCAGGTGTCCATCTGTGTGTCGGAGGTCCATCTGTGTGTCGGGTGTCTATCTGTGTTTCGGGTGTTTGTTAGTCGGGTGTCTATCTGTGCGTCAAGTGTCTATATGTGTGTCGGGTGTCTATCTGTGTGTCGGGTGTCAATCTGTGTGTTGGAGGTCTTTCTGTGTGTCGGAGGTCCATCTGTGTGTCGGGTGTCTATCTGTGTTTCGGGTGTTTGTTAGTCGGGTGTCTATCTGTGCGTCAAGTGTCTATATGTGTGTCGGGTGTCTATCTGTGTGTCGGGTGTCAATCTGTGTGTTTGAGGTCTTTCTGTGTGTCGGAGGTCCATCTGTGTGTCAGGTTCCAATCTGTATGCCAGGTGTCTATCTGTGTGTCAGGCGTCTATCAGTGTGTCAGGTGTCTATCTGTCTCAGGTGTCTATATGTGTACCATGTGTCTATCTGTGTGTCAGGTGTCTATCTGTGTCAGGTGTCTATCTGTGTGTCGGGTGTTTGTATGTCGGGTGTCCAACTGTGTGAAGGATGTCTCTCCGTGTGTTAGGTGTCTATCTGTGTGTCCGGTGTCTATCTGTGGGTAGGAGGTTAATCTGTACGTAGGGTGTTTATCTGTGTGTCGGAGGTTCATCTGTGTGCCAGGTGTCTATCTGTTTGTGTAGTGTCAATCTGTGTATCAGGTGTCTATCTGTGTGTCGGAGGTCTTTCCGTGTGTCAGGTGTCTATCTGTGTGTCAGGTGTCTATCTGTGTGTCCGATGTTTGTGTGTCGGATGTCAATCTGTGTGTCAAGTGTCTATCTGTGTGTCGGGTGTCTATCTGTGTGTCGGGTGTCTATCTGTATGTCGGGTGTCTATCTGTGTGTCGGGTGTATATCTGTGTGTCGGGTGTCTATCTGTGTGTCAGGTGTCTATCTGTGTGTCGGGTGTCTATCTGTGTTTCAGGTGTCTATCTGTGTGTCAGGTGTCTATATGTGTGTCGGGTGTTTGTGTGTCAGAGGTCCATCTGTGTGTCGGGTGTCTATCTGTGTGTCGGGTGTCTATCTGTGTGTCAGGTGTCTATCTGTGTGTCGGAGGTCCATCTGTGTGTCAGATGTCTATCTGTGTGTCGGGTGTCTATCTGTGTGTCGGGTGTCTATCTGTGTGTCGAGTGTCAATCTGTGTATCAAGTGTCTATCTGTGTTGGGTGTCTATCTGTGTGTCGGGTGTTTGTATGTCGGGTGTCTATCTGTGCGGCAAGTGTCTATCTGTGTGTCGGGTGTCTATCTGTGTGTAGGATGTCTCTCTGTGTGTCAGGTGTCCATCTGTGTGTCGGGTGTCTATCTGTGTGTCGGGTGTCTATCTCTGTGTCAGGTGTCCATCTGTGTGTCGGAGGTCCATCTGTGTGTCGGGTGTCTATCTGTGTTTCGGGTGTTTGTTAGTCGGGTGTCTATCTGTGCGTCAAGTGTCTATATGTGTGTCGGGTGTCTATCTGTGTGTCGGGTGTCAATCTGTGTGTTGGAGGTCTTTCTGTGTGTCGGAGGTCCATCTGTGTGTCGGGTGTCTATCTGTGTTTCGGGTGTTTGTTAGTCGGGTGTCTATCTGTGCGTCAAGTGTCTATATGTGTGTCGGGTGTCAATCTGTGTGTTGGAGGTCTTTCTGTGTGTCGGAGGTCCATCTGTGTGTCGGGTGTCTATCTGTGTTTCGGGTGTTTGTTAGTCGGATGTCTATCTGTGCGTCAAGTGTCTATATGTGTGTCGGGTGTCAATCTGTGTGTTGGAGGTCTTTCTGTGTGTCGGAGGTCCATCTGTGTGTCGGGTGTCTATCTGTGTTTCGGGTGTTTGTTAGTCGGGTGTCTATCTGTGCGTCAAGTGTCTATATGTGTGTCGGGTGTCAATCTGTGTGTTGGAGGTCTTTCTGTGTGTCGGAGGTCCATCTGTGTGTCGGGTGTCTATCTGTGTTTCGGATGTTTGTTAGTCGGGTGTCTATCTGTGCGTCAAGTGTCTATATGTGTGTCGGGTGTCAATCTGTGTGTTGGAGGTCTTTCTGTGTGTCGGAGGTCCATCTGTGTGTCAGGTTCCAATCTGTGTGCCAGGTGTCTATCTTTGTGTCAGGCGTCTATCAGTGTGTCAGGTGTCTATCTGTGTCAGGTGTCTATATGTGTACGAGGTGTCCCTCTGTGTGTAAGATATCTATTTATGTGCCAGGTGTCTATCTGTGTGTCAGGTGTCCATCTGTATGTCAGGTGTCCGTATGTGTGCCAGGTGTCTATATGTGTACCATGTGTCTATCTGTGTGTCAGGTGTCTATCTGTGTCAGGTGTCTATCTGTGTGTCGGGTGTCTATCTGTGTCAGGTGTCTATATGTGTACGAGGTGTCCCTCTGTGTGTAAGATATCTATTTATGTGCCAGGTGTCTATCTGTGTGTCAGGTGTCCATCTGTATGTCAGGTGTCCGTATGTGTGCCAGGTGTCTGTCTGTGTCAGGTGTCCGTCTGTGTGCCAGGTATCCTTCTCTGTGTCAGGTGTCTATCTTTTTAGTCGGCTGTCGATCTGTGGGTACCATGTCTGTCTTTATGGTTATAGTGTCTTCCTGCATTGAATATCTGTTTGGCTCTAGTGTCTTTATTTATGGGTCTAATGTATATCTGTATGGGTCTAATGTCTGTATGTATGGGTCTAGCGTCTATCTGTATGTGTCTAGTGTCTAAAGCGATGGATCCAGTGTCTTTGAACGTTGGTCTCATGTCTAATTGCATGGTTCTAGTGCCTTTCTGTGTACATTCAAGCTTCGTGTGTCTCTGAAAGGGTCTTGTTTTTATATATATGGATCCAGTAAATGTCTCTTTTGGTTTTACATATCTGATTTAGTCGTAAATGTCCGTTTTAAGGAAGGGAAATACAGGGAGATACACGAGGCACGAGTAAGCGGCAACATTTTTTTAACATCAGCTCCAGTTAAAACTTGAAACAGTCTTTGTTTAGAAAAGAATATCCCACTCCAAAGGAAAAGGGGGGTTTGGTGGCTTTTCTACACTGTCATGGGCAACGAATCGTATGAATGTTATCATTGCCTTTAGAACCTTCAGCTATGTAGATCTCAAGTAGATCTCCAGCGAATGAAATTATTAATACTTAATAATTATATGTTTCTTAATTGATGTGATAGGTACGTACATCTCACCCCCTTCTGTAAAATGGAACGAACCAAGGCGTAATGTATAAATTAAGGCCCGAAGGCCTGTTTTCCACAGAGTTGAAGAGGACTAGTGACAAGACTAAGGTAATTCGACATTTTAATATTTTGACCGAGTATTGCAAATTGTTTTGTATTAACAAACTGGTCTGAAAAAAATGTAAGCCTTTAACTAGGTGAATATTAAACAAGCTTCTGGACTTGTCTAGGGACCTGACATTTGAAATTAATGAAAAACAGTCAAACAAGAATGTTATCTTATATATTATACACATTGAATATACGAATAACTTGAAGAAAGAATTATGAATATACGACCTTTGATGAAGATGTTCAACAATGTATTTTATTTCTCATATGTTTCTTTGAACAATGAATAATTATTCAATAAAACTTCTTCTAAGAAGATCACTGCAAAGTCTACCAGTGACACATGTACCATTATCACTCATTAATATTTGTATTCCAAACCGTCATGCCAAATGGTTCTCATCGTAACAAACTTTCATTAGACAAAGGATTATGCTGTGACGCGCACGCACAGATACACAGACACACAGACACACGCACAGGTACGCAGACACACAGACACACACACACTCATTCGTTCTCACCCACACCCACAATTGTAGTTTACATTCGTTACAGGTTGCCAACTCCTATCACAAAATGAGAACTATAATTCCCCTCTTGGTGCTGCTGGTCGCAGTGTTCCAGACATTCGGTGGTAAGTCCACTGACCTTGTAGAGAGAGAGAGAGAGAGAGAGAGAGAGAGAGAGGGAGGGAGAGAGAGAGGAGAGAGGGATAGAAAGAGAGGAGAGAGAGAGGAGAGAGAGGGGAGAGAGAGGAGAGAGAGAGAGGAGAGAGAGAGCGGAGAGAGAGAGAGAGGAGAGAGAAAGAGAGGAGAGAGAGAAAGAGAGGAGAGAGAGAGAGATAGAGAGAGGAGAGATAGATAGAAAAAGAGGAGTGAGAGAGAGAGAGGAGAGAGAGAGGAGAGAGGGATAGAAAGAGAGGAGAGAGAGAGGAGAGAGAGGGGAGAGAGAGAGGAGAAAGAGAGGAGAGAGAGAGAGGAGAGAGAGAGCGGAGAGAGAGAGAGAGAGAGGAGAGAGAAAGAGAGGAGAGAGAGAAAGAGAGGAGAGAGAGAGAGAGAGAGAGAGAGGCGTGACAAACACCTATGATCGCTCTCATCAGATGTCACAATGGTTGTGCGTTGGCGCTGCCCAGGTATATACTGAAAGAGGAAACATCTCTGTTTTTGACATGCACAATAACCATCTTTCGGTCTAAATGTTTGTTTATTTAATTGTTTGTTGAACGCCGCCCACAACAATATTCAAGCTATATGACGGCGGTCTGTAAATAACAGAGTCTGGACCAGACAATCCAGTGATTGATATCATGTGCATCGATCCACGCAATGCCTAATCGAAAGTTCGAGGTGGGCCCACATTCGAAACTAAACGCACTTGTTGTAGAGCATATGTACTACGTCAAAAAACTGTATTACAAACTACTATATTTTCTATTTAAAATGAGTGTTGTGACTTTTAATTGGATTAGAATATACAGATGCGTAGAAACTACAGCAAAACTCACTTGTACGAAGATCGCAAAACTAGGGCGTTGGGTCTTTAATATTAGAGTTATTCCTTTTATGGAACAAGTTCCCGGATTTCGATTCAAGTATAGACATACTTTTCAGGGTTATATCGCCACCGACATTTATGATTAGATTGATGTTTTATACTGGAAAACGTGGATTGAATCGTATTATCTTAAAGTACGTTTCTTGCGTTGTTGCTATTTTTGCAAAACTTTGTTTTGGAACGCGATTGATCAGTTAATGACTTCATAGACTTTGTGTTCCTATCGTGGAGGCAACCTTAACCTAAACAATTTATAAAGACATTTCTCATCAAGATAACAAAATGAGTACAATATATATTGCTACATATCCATACAAAACAATTACAAATGTGAGCTCACTAAATGACTTAGTCAACCCAATGAAGCCTAGCGATTTACAAATGTGGGCTCACCTTTGTCGATCACTATATATATCATGGGAGTGGACCCACATCTTAGAAAATGATTATCAATTAATGGAACTTCGCGATTTATAAATGTGGTCCTTTCTGTTGCAATCTCTATGATGGAAAAATGCCTGCCTACATTTAGAAATTGATTATCAGGACTATGCCAACCTAATGAAGCTTTTCTGTAGTCCTATACAAATGCCTGCCCACATTTTAGAAAATTGCTACCAGCACTAAACCAACCAAAGAAGATGTACATATTACACTCAACACATGACAACTATCGACTTTCTAAAATGTGGGCCCACCTGCAGTCATCTTTAGTAAGAAAACCAAGTGGGCCCATATTTTTTGAAAACTAATATTTATTAGTTATTAATTACGTTGGCAAGTACCGTTTTTAATTTTCTAAATAGTGTCTTCAAATATTAAATAAGAATACGGTTTACCTTTGGGATCAGATGGCCAAATAATAGTTGGACCAACGACAACGTTCAGCGTGACTAAGGCCAACAACGTAGATAGCTCCCGACTGAAATTAGAGTGACATCCCTTTCCCAATATGAACCACTGATAATGCGGTTTGGCCATAACATGAACCAAGTCAGCGAGGATGATCACCTGATCCAAATATTCGCCTCTTATGCACTGCACAGTTGCCTCTCACGGTAAGCATGGGTTGCTGAACGCCTATTCTACCCCGGACCTTCACGGGTCCCACTTGACGTAAAAGGATAGCCCAAAGTCAGCGAGCCTGACCACCCGATCCCGTCAGTCGCCTCTTACAACACGTATGATTTTCTGAAGACCTTTTCTAACCTGGATCTTCAGAGGTCCCGTCTGAATAATTCATAATTTGGGCCTATCGTGACCCGGAACTCTCATAGACGCGGGGCATTTAAGGTACCTGTATTTCTGACCTGTCATTACCTATTATACCTAGGAACAACGCCTGGTGGTCCGACAACCCCTCCACCGGATAGTAATCCAACAAGCCCACCGTCAGGAGGTGGTTTGACAAGCGCTCCAAAGGTAAGTATTGACGTATTTACTGACAGGATAATGGCATTAACCATAATCCTTGATACAAACAAGGAAGGACATTTTTTATATCCACAAAAAATATTTGAGACAAGTGGAATTAGTACCATGTGGATTCTCCATGTTCAAAGGATGTGCTTGAATTTTCTATCTCAGAAAAGAACCAAGTTCAATTATGTTAAAACATTTGATTTTGCAACTTTGTACACCACTAACCAACACGTTACTGTACCACTGGACAATGGTGGTTATGTCTCTGTTTATGAGGCTGACTGTACTCCGCTTGATGATGGTGGTCAGTTTTCTGTACTTGAGACTGGCCGTACGTAACTAGATTTTGGTGGTCAGTTTTCTGTACTTGAGACTGGCCGTACGAAACTAGATTGTGGTGGTCAGTTATCTGTACTTGAGACTGGCCGTACGTAACTAGATTGTGGTGGTCAGTTTTCTGTACTTGAGACTGGCCGTACGTAACTAGATTGTGGTGGTCAGTTTTCTGTACTTGAGACTGGCCGTACGTAACTAGATTGTGGTGGTCAGTTTTCTGTACTTGAGACTGGCCGTACGTAACTAGATTGTGGTGGTCAGTTTTCTGTACTTGAGACTGGCCGTACGTAACTAGATTGTGGTGGTCAGTTTTCTGTACTTGAGACTGGCCGTACGTAACTAGATTGTGGTGGTCAGTTTTCTGTACTTGAGACTGGCCGTACGTAACTAGATTGTGGTGGTCAGTTTTCTGTACTTGAGACTGGCCGTACGTAACTAGATTGTGGTGGTCAGTTTTCTGTTCATGAAACTGACCGTATACCACTAGATGAGGGTGGTCAGCTTTCTGTACTTAACTAGTTGATTATGGTTATGTCTCTGTTCATGAGACAGACCGTATACCTCTAGATTATGGTCATCGGTTTTCTGTACATGAAACTGACCCTACGTCATAGATGGTGGTGGTCAGTTCTCTGTTCATGAGACTGACCGTATACCACTAGATGGGAGTGGTCAGCTGTCTGTACATGATACTGACCGTACATCACTACGCTGCAGTGGTCAGATCTATGTACGTTGGGTTGGATGAATCCACAATAGGGTGGTGGTCAGCTGACACGTACATGAAGCTGACCTACAGGTTAACACTTAATATCACTACAAGCTAGAACTTAAAAATAATTAAAAGCTAGCGATGAAATATCACTTAGGCCAGCACTTAAACATCACTGTAAGCTAACACTTAAATACCATCATCATATGTTTCAGGGCACTGCCAGCGCTGTGACGTCATCGACCTTCGGGATAGTTTTCTCCGTTGTGGGCGTGGCCACCGTTAGACAAGTGCTCTAGACCGTCCTGCTGACCAACGTCAACTGTCCAAGGAGAATACTTATCACAGAATAATAAAGTATCGGACAAGAATGCATTTCATATCCACACTGAAAGTTCTAAATGACTTCACCAGCTTGTGTTTCTTCTTTACTCTGTCTGATCCCAACTCTTAGAAATTTAACTGTTCGAAAGTTTTTATTTCGTTGAAATATTGAATTTAGTTTTGGTAATATAGGTATTTTCCTTGTGACATAAACCCTGGCAAATTGACGTCAAACTGTCTCCTTTTTCTACCTATTGCCATACCTTCCTATTCTAAATTGTACATGATTAAGAATTCCAACGAAGCCATTGCTACTTGTCTCCCCACTAAGACAAACTACCACGTGTTTTGTACAGTGAGTTTATGAGTAGCCGTTCTGTGGCAATGACCTGGGTTCGCGTGATCACATGTTGTAATGTAGGGACTGACAGATTGTAGTTTATGATTCAACCGTTGTATCCGAAATGATTTTGCAATAAAACAGTTTCCGATCTGTAATATATTAAAAAAATGTGTTTGTTTGGTAATACCTGTGAGTCAGTTGGTTTTACACATTGTACCCATGTGGGGAATCGAATCCTGGTCTTAGAGCGAACGCTTTAACCACTAGGGTACCCCACCGCTTCTTCTACACAGTGATAGACGAAGAAGACCCACACCACACTGGGCTTTCCTTCCACGCCGAACCGAGACGCCATGATACAACTGAAATTCTGTCATATTTAACAGCGGCGTGAAACCAAAGTTACGCACTAATATAATATAGGAGGAGAAGACGATCTTTGACCAGCCTTGTGAAATACACGGCCATGAGAATGGTGCTTACAAACCACGGATCGAAGTTAGAGTGGATCCTGTCATGGTCAAGGGACACAACTCTGTGTAGCGAAGACCTCATATTTTGACATTCACTTAACCTAACTACAGTATAGAGTGTATGCGTGGTGTGAGAGTAGAATATATTTAGAAGCTGATCAGTAGCGAGTTTGTAGTCTTCAGAAAGTGAGTGAACTATGTTGTTTGGCGCTTTGGACAATATTATAGTTATATCACGGCGGGTCAGCATAATGTAGGAAGAAAGCTCAAAGCAATGCAGGTCTCGGGCGTGTACAACTTCAGTGAAACCCATGCTCATGGGTATGATGCTGGCAGTTTTTTTATTAACTAAAAGAAACAAAGACAATCGTTGATATAATTTCTTGATAGATGACACCTTAAAGGTTATCCCATAGCTACCCATAATATTCATGACTAAAAGTGACCCGTGAAGACCCGGGGTAGAATAGGTCTTCAGCAACCCATGCTTACCGTAAAAGGCGACTATGCTTGTCGTAAGAGGCGAATAACATGATCGGCTGGTCGACTTAGTTGATGCATGCCATCGTTTCCCAATTGCGTGGATCGATGCTCATGTTGTCGATCACTGGATTGTCTGCTCCAGACTCGATTATTTTTCAGACCGCCGTCATATAGCAGGAATATTGCTGAGTGTGGCGTTAAACAACAAACAAACAAACATGACTAAAAGTAATTATGAGTTGAATTAGATGTACAGCCAGTAGCGAGTGTGTTCACCTTGTGCATTGGTGGAGACCCGACGCCTTCACCTAGGTGAGCTCTGGTTCGATTCCCAATATGGGTACAATGTGTGAAGCCCATTTCTGGTGTCCCTCACCGTGTTATTGGGCCGCAGTGAGCAAGCGGTAAAAAACGCCAGGCTAGCAAGCGCCAGGTGCTGAGATCGTATCCCGCTGGTGACCGGGTTGTTATTCAGCCTTGGAACCATCAATGTTTACAGGTCTTTACAACGTTGTCCCTATTGTGCAATACATACGTGCACTCAAAAGAACCCACTCGTCCGGTGGTAGATGATCATATGTCGGAAACACGAATACGTACTTACACCCGTAACACAAGTGTCAAAACGTGTGGTGTCACCCTGAGCAAGTACCTAGTTTACATGTGCCTCTGCTCACACACCAGGGAATGGGTACCCGATATGTGAGGTGGATGGGAGTTGAGAGTGATAACTGGAATTCAAACGGATCCACTAGTCGTGGAACAAATAAAACCGCATTTGAGCAGATAATAGTACCTGGGTACCTGCTGTGTATAATAATGATAATAATAATAATAATAATAATAATAATAATAATAATAATAATAATAATAACAACAACAACAACAACAACAATAATAATAATAATAACAACAACAATAATAACAATAACAATAACAACAACAACAATAATAATAACAAAAACAATAATAACAATAACAATAACAATAACAATAATAATAACAACAACAACAATAACAACAATAACAATAACAACAACAACAACAATAATAATAATAATGATAATAATAATATTAATGGATATTGTCAAATGCGGCGTAAAACCATACTCACTCACTATAGAGGCCACTAAACGATAAAGAAAGGCCTGCGGAATGACCTATCACATCTGAGGAAGAGAAGTTGAAGTTCCTGCAACGTTGTTGGAGGAAGTAGAAGACGTCGCACACGTCGTCCCACTTCATCCCACTCTTACGGAAATAGTTTTAAAACATTTACTGCGTTAGTGACTGTTACTGTCCACTCTAAAGTACAGGTTAGTAGACTTTACTAATAGTTTTTTTTATAGGCAGCCTAGAGTCATGAACTAAAACATGTTAAGTAGTAATCAGATATACATTGCCAGCTTCCTGTATGAGAGAAATACCATTAGCTGCATATCAACAACACATGGATGAACACAAAAGAGTTTCAAACCTCGGTGGTATTCGAACCTGCAACCTCACGACTTGTCCTAGCTGTATGTGTGATGAAAGTGCCTCTGAATCTGATGCGCATATACATACATACAACCTATCTTTATTTGACATATAACCTGATGATATGCTTTTATTGAACATGTTTGAATTCTACAAATGTTTAAAGGTGTTTGAATTCTACAAATGTTTAAAGGTGTTTGAATTCTACAAATGTTTAAAGGTGTTTGAATTCTAAAAATGTTTAAAGGTGTTTGAATTCTAAAAAAGGTTTAAAGGTGTATATATTCTAGAATTGTTTAAAAGTGTATATATTCTAGAAATGCTTAAAGGTGTATATATTCTAGAAATGTTTAAAGGTGTATATATTCTAGAAATGTTTAAAAGTGTATACATTCTAGAAATGCTTAAATGTGTATATATTCTAGAAATGTTAAAAGGTGTATATATTCTAGAAATGGTTAAAGGTGTATATATTCTAGAAATGTGTAAAGGTATTTAAATTCGAAACATGTTTGGATTATGAGTTCAGACTATGAGGCGACAGCTCATTTCATGTGTTAAGGCCCTAAACGTGTTTAGATAGAACACACCAAACATGTCTTGAATGTGTTTACATTCTTAACACATTTTTACCCTGTAGTTTAAGTAGTGAATTATACTAATTTAGTAAGTGATATTTACTAATCTTCAGCATCTTCGTGCAATCTGCCAGGCAGGATAGTACATTCGCTGTTGTCTGCACCGGTGGAGACGTTGATGCCGTCCCCACTGGCCGTCTGTATAACACTAGTCATATGGGTACGGTACAGGAGACAATACGTCAGTTGTATGGGTACAGAATATATATATATATTACGTGGAGGATAAACAATATTATTAACAACAAATAATTGTTTAATTTGAAGTTTACACGATGTACGGCTTTTCCATTGGACGAGAGGTCGGTCACATGACCGTGAAATTGACGTTCATAAGTGTATGAACGACACAATTTGACGTTCATACGTTTTTCACGAGACCGTGTTCTTTAAATGACGTAAACACTGACGGACTACTTCCACATTCCTGGGGAAACCCCTGGGAATTCCCTAGCACGAAAACACACATAAGCGTTCTTTCTGATCATTTAGAACCTTTATTCTTGGTCTCAGCGTTTCAGTATACATTGAGAAATGTCAGAGAGCGTGACTGCATGATTGTTCACGAATATCCTCGCTGCGGCCTATCCTAATGAACAAACGATGAAATGCACATCTGAACTATCGTAGTATCGACTCGATCCGTACCATGGCTGACATTGACCGTCTCCAGCAATCTATGAAGTTACCTTAGTGTCTGTTTGACGCATCTTTATTCACCTTTCAATGATCGGCCAGTTGATCAATGATGACGTACACATGTAACCGCCACACGTTCATTAACAACTTCGGAAATCTCTCCCGTCACGTTTATCGTGTCGGCCATTTTGACGTCTTGTACTTGATGTTAATGTATTACGACGCGCTGTCAATGTGACTGACTTACTGAGGTAGTTCTTTACAGACCTTTCTCATCTAATGAGAATATGATGTGAACACATGTGCTGCTTAAGATGTTGCTGAAGAGCAAGTTGTGCATCCATACGCCCATGTCACCTCTCTTTTTGAGGAGCTATTTTACTCCGCGATATAGCTGGTTGTTGTATGGCTGTCAGTGTAAACATGAAGTCACGCGTATGTAAATGTGTTTAGATCTTGGCCTACATCCTTTGAGGTAAGAAATTGTGATGAAAAATGTATAAGAATTGACTTTCACTTTGTGTGAGTTCACTGGAGTATGAACCTTCATAGAGTGAGGGCAAAACTGTATGAACGTCGGAGCTTGCGACAAGAATTGCATACAAGAGAGAGATTATGAGTTGAATAAATAATACCAACAGAAGGATGATACTGTAACAACATGATGGACAGAGGTTGCAGAACACATGATGAGGAATCCCAAAAAAAAGGATTAGAAAAACATATATAGATGGGTTATTGCTCAATGAGTTTCTAATAGGTGAATGTGGACTGCTTTCTTTTAGTGAAGTCATGGAGGTTGTTGGAGAGGATTTGACGTTGTCCCAGTTGATGTTGTGATTGGGGCAGTTGCTGATATGGTCCGAGATGGCTGATTCACTCTCTGATTTGATGGTTGAAGTTTTGTGCTCTTTGATTCTGGTGAGGTTTAACGTCGCGTCCAAGATTATTGCACTTATATAGCACGTGCATGCATGTATGTGGCTGCTTGTACTAGTCCGGACTGATGCCGATTTATCGTGCTAGCTCACTGAGATACCATGCCGCAGTTTAACACGAATACCCCACTCAGACACAGTATACTGACTGCGAACGACCAGTCCTTGTTTTAGTCCCTTAATGCCGAGCGCCAGACAGGTCAACAAAAAGTACCATATTCTAACGTCTGGGTATGACGCGGCCGGAGATCGAACCCCGGACCTTCCGCTCTCCGGGCGGACGCTCTACAACTAGGCCACGGGAGCGGTCTCTTTGATTCTGGTGTTTGATGGGGCGGGATGTTTCACCTTCGTGTTCTGTTGGTAGAACACTAATGTTAAATGCGAAACCTGTAGTCAACTGCAAATGTATTTTTCGATCGTTTTGATGATCTTATAAAATTTCGTATTTGCAAGAACTTAATTTCGTACAGATGCAAATTTCATTCTTAGAAAAAAATTTCCACATAAACAAGAATACAAATGTTAGTTTACAATGAATCACCATTTCGACAGAAATGAAAGCTGCTTTGGTGCCAGTTACGGGACAGGGTCATATAAAAACTCAACGTTTACGCCATGAGATTCATCGGGGTTGACATCATATCATCGTCACAATAGTAATAAATTAGCTTACAGTAACTACTTTTACTCTTCTACACCACATAGTGTGTCGAGATCAGTTATATTTGTTCATTTATGTTTCTGCATTAAAAAAAACAATAATATGTATTGAGGCGAGCCCTACTAAAAAACAGCTGAAAATAGCGGTCCCTTATGCAACGTCTGAAAGGTCATTCTCATGTCTTTGGAGACGGAAAACACGCCTTAGAAGTACCATGACCCAGCAGCGTCTCAACATCATCATGCTCTTGCATATTCACAAAGGGATACGGACAATTCCAAGCCATCTAAACATGCAAACCAGGGACGCTGTACCTTCTTTGGTGGCTTTGTACAGAAACTGTCGGAACTAACCCATACTGCGACGAGTGATTGAGTGAGTGAGTATGGTTTTACGCCGCTTTTAGCAATATTCCAGCAATATTACGGCGGGGGACACCAGAAATGGGCTTCACACATTGTACCCATGTCGGGAATCGAACCCGGGTCTTCGGCGTGACGAGCGAACGCTTTAACCACTAGGCTACCCGACCGCCCCGTGATCATATGAACTTGGTTGGACTCTTCTTGAACACACAATTGAAACATGTTTCCTCACCACCATATAGTTTACTGGAAAGTTTTTGTATTTTGATGTCATCACCAAACTTCACATGCTGCCTAAGGTATGACAATTTACAGGTGCTGAACGCAGCTCACTATTCACAACTGTTTCACCTTTATAACTAGCTAGGGAGACATAAATCTTCTCAAACACACGTTGTCGTTTGTGTTTAACTTTGAATCTCTAAACTATTGTTGCAAAATGGCTGTCCATTCGTATTTAAAATCTACCTAAATTAGACGATTTGGACCATAAGACAATACAATAGCTGTTGTGTACCCCCCCCCAACACCCCCCCCCCCCCCCCCCCCCCCCCCCCCCCCCCACACACACCCTGGTAACAGTAAGCAAGAGATGTGCCCCCATCCGCGGTCACAAATATTTTTATTTTGCCTCCCACCCTCCCCCAGTCCTCGACACTTGTTGACAATTTTATTCATTTGACTTATTTGCTTGGGAATTTCCCGAAAAATCGTTTATCTGTATGGTTGACATGTAACCAAGAGACAAAAGAATGTCGGGGTAAAAGATCGATTGACCTAGATTTGTTGTCTTGTGGTAGTGACCCCTTGGAAAATGGACATACCGGGTTACAATTCATATATGTTGGTTGTAAGAGGTGTCTTGAATCATGTGCAATAGGTACAAGCTCGGCGACCTGGTTGGTAGCATTTCATCGTACCACGATTGATAGTTGCTCATGATATCAACCATTGGACTATTTACAAGCCACCCGAATAAACTAGAAATAAACACAAAAACATGACATGTTTTGAGATGGTGGATGTTCTGCAAATTGTACTTGGCCATTTTGTTTCCAGTTTAGACCACCTTCAAAACACAAGACCAATTTACCAAATATTGTACAAAAATATTACCATAATTGCTCTTCGGAAATTACATTGAACAAACCTGTGTGAGCTTTGCTCCTGCTACGTGGTAGCATCAAAACACACACAACCAACTCCTTCAAACGATGTTGTCTGGTACTTAAAGAAGAATTTAACTTCATGACAAATAACAATTTAAGACGAGCTTCCTCATTTCCACATATTTTGCAGAGTACGGTAGTCATGGAAAGTGCATACCTTGTACACAGACCTATTGAAACACGAAATCATCTACGTAATATAAGCAGACACAAAACGGAAACATTCTTCTTGATCAATCAAACATAATGCCGTGCATTGTTGGCCAGGCGGTCTAAAACCTGCGTCCAAGAATCGTGGGTTCGAATCCAAGATGCGCCTTGCCTACGAATTTCATGGGTTTCATCTATAACTGGAATAGTGTTCAAAGCGGCATGACACACAGTTCACTCTATATAAAAGTACCGGTGCCGTCACTTGCTTATACTCTTTGGGTTACACATCGTAAAGGAAGGTTCAAATTGATATTTTGATATAGGCTGAATGTATATTTAAATATTGATTTGTGAATCGATCATCAATCAAGTTTCATCTGTGGATAGATACTCATTGTTTTGTTATCATGTTTCCATGGGAGCGGTAAACATACCCGCTATCAAGCGTTACTGTGGACAATGACAGTCGGACGAACCGCACTCACGAAAAGGGGTGTTGAATACAAATATTCAGATTTGGAAGGAAGTTTGACGACTTGAAGAAGCGATATAATACTAACAATATCAAATACCAAAATAGACCGACAGGATGTGTTGGTACGTAGATGGCCTACACACTGACTCATACAAACTTTATACTTATTGACGAAAGTCCCCCATTTTAATAAATGAAACAGCCCAAGCACCATTTAAAGGACGGACCTCCCCCTCCAAGTGTTGAAAAGGGGAAGATCGGAGGACGATCACAGAGGAAATTTAGTTACACAGGTAGGTTGTTATTGAACATTAACATTAACATTATTGTTGGTTAAAACGAATTACTGTCAGCGTTAGGGAGAAACATTTAGTTTGCAAAGATAAATGGTTAAGGTATTGTAAATGGATTTATTTGCTTTAAAACATCAGACATAACCTTGAAGGTCTTTATGACAAATTGTGCGTTATATGATCTGGAAAATGTATTTACCATTAATGACGAGTTGAATCTAAATTCCGTGTTTCGTTTTTACAGGATTCTTCTTTCAATTAAGAACTGACAATGCGAGCCATGATTCCGCTGTTGGTGGTGTTAGTCGGTGTCTTGGTGTTGAGGACAGGTGCAGATTCATCTTCAGGTGAGGGCGCATTCGTGACCAACTCGTGTTATTCCGGGACAAGCCGAATAGCGACTCGTGCCTCTCTCGGGGCCATTTATGCGACCGGGTTCCGTCTTAGCGCAAACGGGCATACCTAAAACAATTGTCAATTCGTTGCGTAATGGTTCACATATATTTCCCCATATATTATATGTATTTCAGATGTAATTTAAAGCACATCGGGACGAGCGGAATTATACAGTATGATTGAACACATTTAACTGTGTCTTTGGTATATTTTTAGATGCAAGACATATATGTAAAAACAAAACTTATTTCTGAGGGATTCTTTGACGAAGAACTTGAAATCATACGCGCATTCTGATTAGTTTGTCGTATTTTCGCACATAACATTCATCGATAGGGGGATGAGTCTTCTTGCAGGTTACGGAAAGGGGCGAGTGGTAACGAATGTCGTGCCTCTCTCGGGGCCATTTATTTTTGCGACTGGGTTCCGTCTAAGCGCAAACGGGCATAGCTAAACAATTGTCAACTCGATGCGTAATGATTCACGTACATTTCCTCCATATATCACATATATTCCTGATGCTACTGAAAACACTTTGGGTATTACATTTAACTGTATGTAGGGTATATTTTTAAATGCATACATATGTTAAATCTAAAATTATTCATGGGGGATTATTTGACCGAAGTACTTGAAGTCATACGCGCATTCTGATTGGTTTATCGTATTTTCGCACATAACATTCATCGATGAGGGACGAGTCCTCTTGTAGGTTACGGAAAGGGGCGAGTGGTGACGAATGGTAAGGGCGGTGTGAAGTTCACCATTATCAGTATTCTGTCAACTGGTTGCCATTGTCCACCAAAATGAACTCCCTGCCTAGTTTACCAAATTAACATCACGACAATCATCTATGTAAGAGAAACTTTATTTTGAAGAATGGAATAGTATCTCGTGAGTGTTTAACCCCACTTTGAACATTATTTTAATTATGTCATGTCATAGTACCTTAACCACGTGATGTGTTCATGTTATCAACCACTGGTTTCCTGGGCCGAGACTCGATTATGTACTGACCGCTGTGGTGTAACAGGAATATTGTTAATTGTGGAGTAAACAACATAAGTAATTAAGCATAATTTTACATTAAAAATATAGAAATTTAGAAATCTAGCTCGCTATACAAAATGCGTACCTAAAGCGAGAGGGGGCACGGGTGGCCCAGTCGTCTAAGGCGCCGCGATTCGCTGTGCAGAGTTGCGTCCCTTGGACACGCCTGAAACCTATGATTGTGGGTTCGAATCACGGTTCGCCCCGATTATGTTTCTAGGTTTGTCAGCACCATACCCGTGCTCGTGAGTTTCACCGAAGTGGTAAACATCTGAGATCTGCATCACTTCGGGATTTCCTCCCACATTAAGCTGACAAGCCGTGATATAACTGGAATACTGTTAAAAACGGCGTTAAATCCAACTCACTCACCTAAAGCGAGATCGTGCTTTGCACCCTTGACTTCAAATGTCAAAACCCAGGTTGATGTAGGACAATTTCTACGATATTATAACATAGGTAGATGTTGGTGTTATTCATCAAATACTGTTTGGTTTAAGTGTGTGAGAATGGTTTAACGCCGCTTTTAGCAATATTCCATCAATATCACCAGAAATGGGCTTCACACAATTAACCCATGCGGGGATTTGAACCGGGTCTTCGGCGTAGCGCGCTTAAACCCTCACCACTTGACTACCCCACCGCTCCTCGGTTTAAGTCTTCACGAAGGCATCCATTGATAATCTAAACGAAGCTTGTTCCGTGAGACTCGTAAGTTTGACTGAAGAGTGAGTGAACAAAGTTTTACGTCGCTTGTAGAAATACCCAAGCAATACCACGGCGGGGGACACCAGAAATAAGTTTCACATTTTGTACCCATATCGGCCCTTTCGGCATTCGTGACCAACTCGTGTTATTCCGGGACAAGCTACGGAAAGGGGCGAGTGGTGACGAATAGCCCTTTCGGTTGACGAGTTGACGCTTTTACCATAAGGCTAAGCCACCGCACCTCTTTGACAATAGGGGAGGCAACTCACAGTTGTAACTGCATTCTAGCTGTGTTAACTTGTACTCATAGATATATACAAGAGAGGTGTTTAAACAGATCGTGACCGGACGTCGCACAAATTATGACGCCATTAAAATGATCGCAAAGTTATTATGACCTACGGACTTGCGACATCTCTCTGGGGTGAGTGAGTGAGTTGGGTTTAACACCGTTTTTAACAGTATTCCAGTCAAAGCATGGCGTGTCAGCTTAATGTCGGAAGAAAGCCCGAAGTGATGCAGGTCTCAGACGTTTACCACTTCGGTGAAACCCACGAGCACGGGTATGGTGCTGACAAACCTAGAAACATAGGTTTCTGGTGAGCCCAAGGGACGCAACTCTTCACAGCGAATCGCGGCGCCTTAGACGCCTGGGCCACCCGTGCCTCCACAACCCTCTGGAACTAAATGGGCGTTGGGCAGGCTTGCGCTACATCTCAACTGACTGATTGGGCAGAATTAATTGCCCTATTTCGTGGTTCACACTATTGACCATCTGTTTATTTGTTTGAGGATTGCAGTTTCCAGGAAAGCAGATTTTCATGATATGAATTTCTTCTGTTGCAGCGCCATCAGCAGCAGCAGCAGCAGCATCAGTAAGTATATAACAAGAGCATGTACAAACGGAAACATGCTGATATTGATATTCAGTGGGAGCTGTATCGCACATCTTAACAGGGTTCCAATAAAATAATAATATAATATAATTGAGCGGATATGTTTATTGATGTTTTTTTTCTTTTCGACAATGGCTTTAATTAAGAACAAACGTTTATAAGCACATCACAAAAAATATATGAAACTTTTCGTTATACTTTGTAAACATTCATTTAAGATGAGGCTCTAATTCGTACTTAGCCTTGAGAAAAACGCGCATTTGACGTTTGCCATAGATACATGGATGGGTTGGTTGGTTGGCTGGTAAGCCGCACTCAGCAATATTCCAGCTATATGACGGCGGTCTTTAAATAATCGAGTCTGGACCAGACAATCCAGCGATTGACATCATGAGCATCGATCCACGCAATTGGGTTCAATGACATGCATCAACCAAGTCAGCGAGCCTGACCACACGATCCCCTTAGTCGCCTTTTACGACAAGCATAGTCACCTTTTACGGCAAGCATGGGTTGCTGCCGACCTATTCTACCCTGGATCTTCACGGGTCACATGGATGGGAGTGTCCCTGGGAACACTAGAGCCATGCCGCCGTTGGTGCCGGCTGAAGAGTGTGGTCAAACTTTGTGTCTTATGCCGATAGTTTCACCGTGTCCGATCATTATAATTGCCCATGGAATGAACACAGATAATACATAAAACCTTGACCCCGTTTGGTGTCGAATGCGTCATCCCTTGTCGAAACAAGTGGAAAATGTCACAGCCAAAACAGTTTATAAATAGACAATCTCACCCGTTTTTCTTTTGATATGCAAATATCAGCGAGTGTTGAGGGTTTTTATTCATCATCCAATATCATTCTTAAATCGAAATACACCAAAAAAATATACAGTGATGTATAATAGCGATATCTACAATGTAGATATCGCGTGGGTGAGATCAAGCGATATCTACAATATCGCGTGGGTGAGATCAAGCGATATCTACAATATCGCGTGGATGAGATCAAGCGATATCTACAATATCGCGTGGATGAGATCAAGCGATATCGACGACTGTGGGAACCAGTTTTGGATGATAACATAACTATAGTGGACAAGGAAATGATTGCTTTGTCTAACCAGCACGTTATAGGAAATTATAGGGTAAACTGGAACACAACTTAGCATGAGCTATACATATAACCAAAGGCATAAACCATGTCCTACCCGTTTCCGCGATATAGGTACATGCCTCAGTACGTTCGTCATGGATGAATGGATGTTAGGGTTGCGGGAAAGACTATATCCCAAGTATCCTTTGTAAAAGTGAGTGAGTGAGTATGGGTTTACGCCGCTTTTAGCAATATTCCAGCAATATCACGGCGGGGGACACCACAAATGGGCTTTGTCGGGAATCGAACGCGGATCTTCGGCGTGACGAACGAACGCTTTAACCACTTGGCTACCCGACCGCCCCTCCTTTGTAAAAGACAACTGAAGAGAACGGTCATGATCTGTGACTTTGCTAATCACGTGTCTGCGCATCCTGATGGTGTGGACCGTTGCTCATGATATCAGTCACTTGTTTTGTCAAATGCAGACACGTTTATGTAGAAGCTGCCGTGATGTAGCTGGACCATTGCTGACTGCGGCGATAAATAACATGAATACCATCGGCTTCACACGTACTGGGTGTGTGAACTGTGACTTAAAATGTAGTTTTGCAGAAATATGTGTCATTTGTGAAAGCTAACCCTTATTGAAGCTTTTCTTTCCTTCAGGGACCTGCAAAACCGGGACCGACTGTGAGTGTATACATGTACCTATGTTTGCTTCCAGTTGGTTTGTTCAGATGCTGCTAAAAACGAAAACTATTTGTTAAAAAAATTCCTTGACTGGTCATGACATGAATGCAATATTTCGTTTAGGGAATGTTATACATAGAGGTAGAGGTTATCTACAATAACAACATCCCTGTGTAACTGATTGTCCTCTATGCTCGTCCTTCTATCTTCCCCTTTTCGACGCTTGGACGGGACGTACGTCCTTTATATATGGTGTTTGGCCTGTTTATTTAAAACAAATTGCAATAAGTTTTAAAGTTTGCATGAGTCACGGTCCAGAGCATCTACGTACCATCAGATCTTGCCGGTCTTTTCAGAAAGCTTGTATGCTTAGTATTATAGTGAAGCATAGTAAGTGGTGTTACACATATATGTGTCAGTTTTGAAAGCTGTCCTTGACTCAATCTTTTATTTCCTTCAGGGAGCTGCAGGACCGGGACCGTCTGTGAGTGTATACCGATGTTTGCTTCCAGTTGCTTTGTTTAGATGCTGCCTAAAACGAAAACTATATGTTAAATATAAACCTTGACTGGGCATGACATGAATGTAATTTTTCGTTTAGGGAAAGTTATACATAGAGGTTAACCATGACACATGAGTGAGTGAGTGAGTGAGTGAGTGAGTGAGTGAGTGAGTGAGTGAGTGAGTGAGTGATAAGAGATCTACAATAACAACAACTGATTGTCCTCTATGATTGTCATTTTATCTTCCCCTTTTTGACGCTTGAACGGGACGTATGCCATTTATACGTGGTACTTGGCCTGTTGAAAATGGCAATAAGTATTAAAGTTTGCATGAGTCACTTAGTCTGTCTTACAGACCCTGATACAAATAAATCAACTACAGCCCATGCAAGTCTATAGTATTTGGCAAGTCTAGATTACTGCACGAAAATGAAGAGAATCACTGGGCTCCCTTTTTATTATATTTTTATTAAGATAACTGAACAACTGGTTTTTTTGTACGATATGTTCATTTCAGAGACTATATGTTAGTCTATGAGTCACTGTCCAGAGCATTTACGTACCATCAGATCTTTTCAGAAAGCTTGTTTGCTTAGTATTATACTGAAGCATAGTAAGTGGTGTTGCAGATATATGTGTCAGTTTTGAAAGCTATCCCTAACGCAATCTTTTCTTTCCTTCAGGGACCTGCAGCACTGGGACCGTCTGTGAGTGTATACCGATGTTTGCTTCCAGTTGCTTTGTTTAGATGCTGCCTAAAACGAAAACTATTTGTTAAATATAAACCTTGACTGGGCATGACATGAATGTAATTTTTCGTTTAGAGAAAGTTATACAAAATAGTTAACCATGACACATTAGTGAGTGAGTGAGTGAGTGAGTGAGTGAGTGAGTGGGTGGGTGGGTGAGTGAGTGAGTGAGTGAGTGAGTGAGTGAGTGAGTGAGTGAGTGAGTGAGTGAGTGGGATTGAGTGGGATTGAGTGAGTGAGTGAGTATGGTTTTACTCCGTTTTAGCAATATCCCGGCAATATCACGGCGGGGGACACCAGAAATGGGCTTCACACATTGTACTCATGTCGGGAATCGAACCCGGGTCTTCGGCGGGACGAGAGAACACTTTACCCACTAAGCTACCCGACCGCCCCGACATATTAGTTGATGAATGAATGATAAGAGATCTTCAATAACAACATCCCTGTGTAACTGATTGTCCTCTATGCTCGTCCTTCCACCTTCCCCTTTTCGACGCTTGGACGGGACGTCCGTCCTTTATATATGTTTGGCCTGTTTTTGTTTTAAAAATAAATTGCAATAAGTATTAAAGTTTGCATGAGTCACGGTCCAGAGCATCTACGTACCATCAGATCTTGCCGGTCTTTTCAGAAAGCTTGTTTGCTTAGTATTATACTGAAGCATAGTAAGTGGTGTTGCAGATATATGTGTCAGTTTTGAAAGCTATCCCTTATTGAACCTTTTCTTTCCTTCAGGGACCTGCAGGACCGGGACCGTCTGTGAGTGTATACCGATGTTTGCTTCCAGTTGCTTTGTTTAGATGCTGCCTAAAAAGAAAACTATTTGTTAAATATAAACCTTGACTGGTCATGACATGAATGCAATATTTCGTTTAGGGAAAGTTATACATAATAGTTAATCATGACACATTAGTGAGTGAGTGAGTGAGTGAGTGAGTGATAAGAGATCTTCAATAACAACATCCCTGTGTAACTGATTGTCCTCTATGCTCGTCCTTCTATCTTCCCCTTTTCGACGCTTGGACGGGACGTACGTCCTTTATATATGGTGTTTGGCCTGTTTATTTAAAACAAATTGCAATAAGTTTTAAAGTTTGCATGAGTCACGGTCCAGAGCATCTACGTACCATCAGATCTTGCCGGTCTTTTCAGAAAGCTTGTATGCTTAGTATTATAGTGAAGCATAGTACGTGGTGTTACACATGTATGTGTCAATTTTGAAAGCTGTCCTTGACTCAATCTTTTATTTCCTTCAGGGAGCTCCAAAAGCAGCACCATACAACGTAAGTACATATTCAGAATGTTCCAAAGTCGCCCTCCATTTTGTGGAGATGGTGTAACATTTCATACTCTACTGACAAAACTTTCATGAACAGTATTTTGTACTATGATGAGTGAGTGAGTGAGTGAGTATGGTTTTACGCCGCCTTTAGCAATATTCCAGCAATATCACGGCGGGGGACACCAGAAATGGGCTTCACACATTGTACTGTACTATGATGAATGTGAGGATGGATTAATAGTGAGCAGGTGGATAGGTAGATGATGGATTGGTGGGGATGGGCAGATGGATGGCTAAAGGGTTGGAAGGATGGATGATGGATGGATTGCGTATTAATGGATGGGCGGGTAGAGGGATGAATAGATAGGGGGGATGGATGGATGGGAAGATGGATGGCTACGGGGTTGGAAGGATGGATGATGGTTGGATTGCGTATTAATGGATGGGCGGGTAGAGGGATGAATAGATAGGGGGGATGGATGGATGGGAAGATGGATGGCTACGGGGTTGGAAGGATGGATGATGGATGATTTTGTATTAATGGATGGGCGGGTAGAGGGATAAATGGATAGGGGTGGAGGGATGGATGGGCAGATGGATGTAAAGAAGCTGGATGAGAGGAAGGATGAGTGGATGGACGGATGGGTGATTGATTGACTGCTGGATGAATAGATGGATAGTGTAATAATGGATGGGCGGGTGGAGGGATGGATGAGATGATGGGGGTATGGATGACGGATGAGATTAATGGTGTATTGATGATTGACAGCATATAAATGGATGGGCGGGTGGGGGATGGATGGAATGATGGTGTATGGATGATGGATGGGATAAAGGATGAATGGATGGGTGATGAATGGACTGATGGATGAATAGATGGATAGTGTATTAATGCGTGAGCGGGTGAAAGTATGGCTAGGAGGATGGGTGTATGGATGATGGATTGATACCGTGGATCACCGGATAGAGGGATAGATGGGATGATTGATGTATAGATGATGGATGGGATGAAGGCTGAATGGATGGACGGATGGGTGTTGGATGGACTGATGGATGAACAGATTGATAGTGTATTATAATGGATCACCGGGTAGAGGGATAGATGGGAGGATGCGTGTATGGATGATGGATGGACGGATGGGTGATGGATGGATGTATAGATGATGGATGGACGGATGGGTGATGGATGGACTGATGGATGTATAGATGATGGATGGACGGATGGATGTATAGATGATGGATGGACGGATGGGTGATGGATGGACTGATGGATGTATAGATGATGGATGGACGGATTGGTGATGGATGTATAGATGATGGATGGACGGATGGATGTATATATGATGGATGGACGGATGGGTGATGGATGGACTGATGGATGTATAGATGATGGATGGACTGATGGATGAACAGTTGGATAGTGTATTAATGGATGGGCGGGTGGAGGGATGGGTGGGATGATGAGTGTATGGATGATGGATGAATGGATGGGCGGATGGAGGGATAAGTGGATGGGTGATGGATGGACTGATGGATGTATAGATGATGGATGACTGATGGGTGAATAGATGGATAGTGGATTAATGGATGGGCGGGTGGAGGGATGAGTGGATGGGTGTATGGATGGACTGATGGATGAATAGATGGATAGTGTATTAATGGATGGGCGGGTTTGAGGGGTGAGTGGATGGGTGTATGGACGGATGGGTGATGGATGGACTGATGGATGAACAGTTGGATAGTGTATTAATGGATGGGCGGGTGGAGGGATGAGTGGATGAGTGGATGGGTGTATGGATGATGGATGGGATTATGGGAGTATGGATGACGGATGGACCGATGGATGAATGGATGGGCGGAAGGAGGGATGAGTGGATTGGTGATGGATGGACTGATGGGTGAATAGATGGATAGTGGATTAATGGATGGGCGGGTGGAGGGATGGATAGGAGGATGGCTGATGGGTTGGATTATGGGAATATGGATGACGGATGGACTGATGGGTGAATGGATGGGCGGATGGAGGAATGAGTGGATGGGTGATGGATGGGAGGATGGGTGTATGGATGATGGATGGGAGGATGGGTTTACGGATGATCGATGGACTGATGGATGAATGGAAGTGCGGATGGACGGATGTGTGGATGAGTTCACAGGGGTAATAATGTCACCTGCTTTTGACATAGGTAGCGTGGTGTCTTCTTATAAATTAACACAAAATATAGACAATTAGAATTTGAAATAAAAACAAAGTGAAATTACTAGGAAAACAATAATGTATTAAATATATTAAACGTTTCAGGGCACTGCCAGCGCTGTGACGTCATCGACCTTCGGGATAGTGCTATCCGTTGTGGGCGTGGCCACCGTTAGACAAGTGCTGTAGACTGTCCTCCTGACCAACGTCATCTGTCCAAGGAGAATACTTATCACACAAAAGGGAACGTCAGAATTGTATAAATGTATTATTAAGTGACATTTCACCACCTAGAAGTTCTTATTTACACAGTTACTCTCAGGACGATAACGTGTCTTTGTTCATATCTTTAAAATATTCATGTTCTTTGAGGATTTAATTTTGGTAGTACTTCCCTAGTGACATAAACCCTGGCAAATTGACGTCACACTGTCTCCATTTTCTACCTATTTCCATACCTTCCTGTTCTAAATTGTACATGATTAAGAATTCCAACGAAGCCATTGCTACTTGTCTCCCCACTAAGACAAACTACCATGTGTTTTGATCAGTGAGTTTATAAGTAGCCGTTCTGTGGCAATGACTTGGGTTCGCGTGATCACATGTTGTAATGTAGGGATTGACAGATTGTAGTTTATGATGTTAGCGTAGCATCTGAAATGACTTTGCTAAAAAACACTGTTTCTGTTCTGAAATACACAAAAATAATTTTGCAATAAAACACTGTTTCCGATCTTTAATATATGTTGTTTGGTAATACGAGTGAGTGAGTGAGTGAGTGAGTGAGTGAGTGAGTGAGTGAGTGAGGCAATATCTCGGCGGGGGACACCAAAAATCGGTTTCACACATTGAACCCATGTGGGGAATCGAACCCGGGTCTTCGGCGGTGACGAGCGAACGCTTTAACAACTAGGCTACCCGACCGCTCCGAGTGAGTTAGTGAGTGTTTATCACAATACCGTGCTCGTGTGTTTCACCAAAGTGATACGACCTACATCACTTCGGGCTTTCCTCACACATCAAGCTGATACCCCGTGATATAACTGATAAATTATTCGAAGCCACATCAAACCAAACTCACTTATTTAATATAGTACGAAAGCAGGAGAGGGCGGGGGTCGTAGACCTTTGTGAAATACACGAGCGTGAGTACACGTATGGTGCTTCCAAACCACGGATGTAGTTAGGGCGGATCCTGTCATACTCAAGAAACACAACTCTGCATGGCGAAGACCTCACATTTCAATCGACATTCACTGACTACAGAGAGTATACGCGGTGCGATTAAGCATGAGATACGTGTGAATATGTTCATATAACCAGTCTGTGGTGTGTGGGAAGCACAACGCCATACAACCTCAGAGTGAGTGAGTTAGGTTTAACGCCGCTTTTAACAATATTCCATTTACATCACGGCGTGTCAGCTTAATGTGGGAGGAAATCCCGAAGTGATGCAGGCCCGGCCCCAGACGTTTACCACTTCTGTGAAACCCACAAGCACGAGTATGGTGCTGACAAACCTAGACCCATGATCGGAGCGAACCGGGATTCGAACCCACAATTATAGGTTTCTGGCGTGCCCAAGGGACGCAACTCTGCACAGCGAATCGCGGCGCCTTAGACGACTTGGTCACCCGTGCCCCTGACAACCTCAAACGTGTACACCAAGATCATGGATATAGTGATGACAATGTATAAACTAAAAGGAACAAACAAACAACATAGTTAGAATATGTCTTGATAGATGAGACTGTAGGAATTACATATAAATATGATTTGAACGAAATATACCATTGGGAGCGTACACGTTGACTCATTAGTAACGGTAAACTGTTTTGAAAGTCTACCCGCGGGATGCCGGGTAGGAATTTGTCCCAAGCAACACATACTGGTCATACGAGTCGAATGAACGTAGGGGGTGGTCTGGCTGGGTGACTTGGTGGATTGCGTGTCATCGTACCCTGACGGCGGGGGACTTTGTTCATGATATCAATCACTAGAGTGTCTGTTCCAGACACGATTACTTACAGGCTGCTGTCCTATTGCTGGAATGTCTGTTATTTTTAATGGCCTATCAGCACTTTAGTTACCTAATTTTGCATTACATTCCTCCATCATCCTCTAGACTCTAAGTTCCTTTCAGTATTCGACAGAACAGTCTTCATATCTATGGATACCGGTGATTTAGTGCTGTAAGACGCTGTAATTAGCTTAGCAGAGTTGCATCCTTTCCCAATGCCAGGAACTGCTGAAAACGGGGTTAGCCTTTTGAATTCGTCCCTTTATGAAGCGTTGTATTTTTAAAGTTCTGCTTCAGTGTCAAAGATATCGGTATGGATGGGGTGGGAACGGACGACTCAGTGGCCTTCTTTTCGACAGAGCTGTAACTACATTGGAACATACAAATAACCCTGTTACTTCTTTATTAATGATAAACTTTTTTAATAAACATTTAAGATAGGGTCTCCTTCAGTTTGATATAATTTAAATAACAAGGACATACATAGATATCAGTTTATGTATTTATTATCTGAACATTATAACAAATTGGTCCATTGTTGTATGTCATAGTTGTCAATTCGACAAATGTTAAATTTAGATGTAGTACATGTGTAGTGAAAATATTTTATAAATACCTGTACTAACTGAGTTTAATAAAACACACTAGAAACAAAGGTTATTATTTAAAAGATGTTTTTTTTAAGAGTGCCTCAAAATGAACGTGGCACGATAAAGTGGTCCGTTTCATTCGAAGGTTCTTGTGACATTAAAAAACAAACAGAAGCAGTCAAAAGATTGAACTGTCGTGGTTGGTCTCCATCAAATGGAGACAACAATGTCTGAAGGTGACGCGCAACAATCCATGAAGAGCGCTCCTGTCATATACACGTGCGTTGTGTCATGCGATGGGATCCACAGACAAGTTCACAGTCAGTTGCGAGTGTGTCCACTTAGTGACACTAAACGTTGAATAGAGGCATGGGGAGTGCCATTCTATATCTGAAGAAGGATCAACGGACGTTCCTGCAACGTTGTAGGAGGAACTGGAAGACGTCGCAAACGTCGTTCCGTTTCATCCCAGACGTGTCTGATTGGTGACACATCTGATGCAGGCCAGGGTAACATTAACATTGCTCTGAGACTGATACTGATGCACAACCCTTGCAACATTCTGTTGTGGAATCTCAGCATTCCAATTCCACATAGTAGCAATCTTTTGAGTCACCACCTCTGGCACGAAAGCCTTCAAGAACAGTGACATAACGCTCACCTCGACGCATGTAGACACGTGATATTAGTGAAGAGGACCCTTTTCCCCAGATGTGCTGTCACCGCAAGCGTTTTCTGCCGTCTGACGTCGACGTTGACCTTTCTGTCGTCAGGGTTGGACGTCTGGCTGGGTGCCTGGCATGGAAGTCGTACATTTGTAGATGGCGTAGGCGTCGTCGATCTGATCTCAGAGACACGCCCCTGTTACCAAGGACGTTGTGGGCTGCTTTGTGGAGCCTGTGGTTTAAATCTGTATGTCATGGCGGGGTTGTTCTGATACGGGTGTTCGCGGTCAGTGCCATATGTTGTTCATGTGTGAGATACTTATAGAATACTAAACGAGCTGCCGTGTAGTACCAATTTTATGAAACGAGTGAATAGTTCTGGTATCAGATACCAGAACTATTTTACGAGTTTCATAAAATTGGTACTACACGGGAGCGAGTTTAGTATTTTATTTATTACTCGTCATTTGTACCTACGTAAAAATCAGCTGATTGACTCCGTACGTCGCATCCCGAGTTCAAATCAGGTCATGCGTATGAATACAAAGTCATGTAAATAGTCATCGTCAAGTGCATCTATAATATCACAATTTTAGCAATTCCAATGGAGAAAACACCCGAACGCTCTTTTTTTCCACAATAAATCTACTTTAATGAACTTCCTGCGAAACTTCGAAACTGCGGTAATGTTTCGAAAACAATAACAAAACAAGTTTATTCGTTGACAAGGCCAAGGTCACAACGTCACATGACCGCAGGCAGAGGGATTCCCCCGATGACAGTCTGTTTTCAAACTTTCTATCACTGGCGATTCATGTCTGATTACATGTCACTGCTATGGTTTAGAAAATTTACATTTATCACAGAATTGGTGATTGCACGGCAAAGATAGAGCTGAGTGTGCGAGACTGGCTATCTGTCACATTGAAAGTTTGGGATGGAGCAGAGACGGTCGACGGTTGGCAAGTCGGAACACAGAGCAGTGATTGTGAAGTGCAAGAATCACTAGGCCTGTCAATCAATGTACTGATGTGTTTGTGCTGCTCTTCAGAAATTTGTGAATAGTTATTGACACTCTGCACATTTCTATGGCCACTGATTTGCATTATCTGAGTAGGTGGAACATTTTTCTCAGAAAGAGTTTGGACCAGATACTTTCGGGCGGAATGATTCGTCAACCGTTTGGTAGATTCAAGTTTTGCATTCGCTGCCATGCGTTTCATTATGGACCCAAGCTTGTTGATGCCAACAGGTTGTCGCTTAAACCAAGGATGTGTCGGAGCGGGAGCAGTTTTAGAATTTGTTGCCAAGTAGAAAGGCGCGTCATGGCCACTGAAACCAGTTGGTCTAAGGTTAGCATAGCGCTTATACGCAAGGACGGGGCAGCGATTGTCACCTGTCGCCCAAGCTTTCGGCGTGACAGTCCGAACATCCCGGATATTTACACCAGTGCGTGTTTTGGTTTGCCGCTCAGCAAACTGCAGGTATTCCATTCCATTTCCATCTTGATTCAACATCACGTCTCCCCAGTGCATATTTCTATGGGGAGTAACGCTACGCAGTCCAAAATGTGTCGTGTTGTGCCACCAAAGTGTATTCAAAATGGACTCGGGAGTTTCGAGACCTAATTCCCCGGATTTCCATAATGTGTCAATGTCGTTCTGACTTAATGACTGCGCACGCATAGGTAAGTTTCCGAGACCTTCTTGTTTTAGAATTTTTTGTTTGGTTTTCAGTACCTCCCTGACGTGTGTAAACTCTAAATCGTGCATAATTGATTTCCCGTAAAATTTTGTTTTGAGGTGCCTGTCTATACTGGCAATCATCCCCGTCAAACTTGTGGGCTCATAATCGGACCCGTCTCCCTTTTTGACGTTCATAAAGAATTTGCATAAAAGTTTACAAAGTTCATGGGCAGGAATGGCTTCTAGTTGTCTGAAGTCATTCTGCTCGTGCATGAATCTAGTGATGATTTTCATGTCATACGCGGTCTTCCTGGAAGCGTTGACATTCTGATTTGTTGCAATGAAATTCGCAATTTCGGAATCGTCACAGTAGGTTGGCGGAACAGGTATTTCATCCCCCTTTAGAGGCACGGGCACAATATCAAAAAAGTCATCTTTGAATAGATCATTAAGATCGAACAAACTGTTGTCATTATCAACAATGGTGGGTGGGGGTAACATGGCCGAAACTGTCTCCGGAATTCGTTGCGTTCGATAGCGAGGTACCTGTTTCATGGAACCATCATCCAGTTTAACGTTGAACATGCTGTATGTCCCTAATGGTTGAACAACCGATAGCACCTCTCTCTTCAGCTGACCATCAATTTTGACACAATCGTTTACTTTTATAGCTTCGGTTGCCATTGTGATAGGATTATTCACTTGACGATAGATTCATCGTCTGCTATATGTTCTTTAATTTTCATGTCGTTTATTATTTCTAAGTAATGAATATTTTCT